CTGTCACTGTCCGACACGTAATAAATATTAATGCGCGCATTCCAGGAAAACTGGGTAATGTTTGTGAGAGAGGGAAAGCGATTTTAAAGCACAGAATTAAAGAATGACATTATATGATAAAGAGGTTATCATGCTTGTGTGTTTTATGAGTACTTTACGCAAATACGCAGTTTATCTCAAGCTCTGCCATGTGATCATGACAATAAAAGAATATATAACAAAAGATTCTACACAACATGTGTGTGACCAACCAGGAGAAAAGAGACCTTATGGGTGCTAGAATACGATTGCGCTATGTCAACTATAAAACATTTTCGTCAACTTACTTCAGTGAAGATCGCCATGTGTGCGGACTGTACAAAATTTCTTATTTCTTCCTGGTTACTACGTAATGTAATGAAAGCATTATTTCAAAACTTTTCAGCATACATGTTTTCGATTCATCAGACATTATGTCTACAAACTGCAATTATTACTTAAATAGTTTTAAATCGGAAAATGAGTCCAAATGTGTGATGACATGTATCTCTGTCATGAATATGAATTGCAGTTTGTGAATTGTAACTTTGTGTTCCAAGATACTGTAGTTTTAAAATATAATAAAAAGTCAAAATGTGATTTTTCACCCATAAGGTCCCTGATCTCGTAGTGGGACACTAATAGTGACCAGTTGATGACACTTTGCTATACGAGTAATAAGGGAAGTGACATTAAACTTTCACCATGAGTACCAACACCACAAGGTACATGAAGGTCAAAGTTTAGCCAAATATACAACAATACAGAAATCTTAGCCTTACTCCAAGGCTGTACCGAAAGAAAGGTCCATGGATGAGTAGTAATTCTGTCTTCTAAATAGGCAAGTCTAGCTAAGGACTCCAGTCGCTTATAGTGACAACTTGTTCTTATTATTCGCATAATCTAGAAATTATGATTTAAACTAATAATTATTGCCTAAGAGACTTGTGCAAAACTACAGCAAACTGTAAGAAGGGTGTACTGGCTGCACCAGATACTTGCACAAACTTTCATAAACCCTGTGCCTTCAGCTATGTCCAAAATGAACTGAAAGCTCATTAACAGCGCTTGGACATGAAGGTAAACAATTCAAAATATGTAGCCTACTGGTTAAAGCGTTCGCTCGTCACGCCGAAAACCCGGGTTCGATTCCTGACATGGGTACAATGGTCGAAGCCCATTTCTGGTGTCCCCCGCCGTGAAATTGCTGGAATATTTCTAAAAGTGGCGTAAAACCACACTCAATCAAAATATGTGAAGAAATATGTAACTAATAAGCATTCCGTGAGCACCATGCAAATTCTAACCCTTTTATTAGTTATGGTTACTGGTGAGATGACGCCAAAACGGAAATGCTCACTGAAGACAAGTGGACAGTCTGTGAGTGAGTTTGGCTTTCTGTATTCGACGTAATAAGCGCCCCGCTCTAATAAGCGCCCGCGGAGATATTTGCTATTATATTGGCAAGTGAACAATCCCAATTAGCACCCCTTCCTATTGATCAATGTACACAAGACTTATTTATTCGTGTATAATACTCACTCGTGTGTTACATGCACCCTTAATTATGGGCAATTAAATTCTGGAAAAATATATCTGTCGTACATAAACAGTTCAGGCCGTCAGCATAAACCATGAAATTTATCTTTCAACTCTGTTTTTTCCACCAAAATAATATTCTAATAAGAGCCCCCTGTTTCTAATTTTGAGTGCGCCCTGGGCGCTTATTACGTCAAATACGGTAACAATATTTCAATGTCAGCTATATGAAGGAGGAAAGCATGAGGAGACCCAGGTCTTTAATGGGGTATGGGTATGGTGCTGAAAAAGTGTAAACATCGCGAGTAGGACCAATCAAACTGACGGCAGTGTAATGTTTTCTTCTTTGTTCTGATTTCGATGATGCCTTTCGTCACACTTTCTGATTGGTTGATCCGAGTACCATGTTGCCAATTGACCAACATCTTGTAACAAGTAATAGCAGGTCACACTCGGTGCTCAAGAAGCCAAAGATATGACAACTGATTCATCAATGTCAAAATTATCTCGCAGGCAGTAAAATACCAATTCTGTATTTTATTGAACAGTTTTGTCCCATAATATACACAGGAAGACTTTGTCTTTGGATAAGATATTTGTATGGTTTCATTGTCCAGTAACAAGATCAAAATTTTTATTTTTCCACACCTTAGTAAAGTGTCAGAACCATGAGAGCAGAAACTAGAAAACAAAAGATAATTGTTATTCGGTTTCAGATAAAAACCAAGCCACACTTATAACCAAGGACATACTTGTTAACTTGAGCTGCCTGCACAGCTGCATTGTTTTCGTGATTTCAGAGCAACAAACAGCACTCTAGCATCCCATTGATTCAGAAGAAAAACCTATTGACCATCCTCCAAGTCTCCTTGCGTGACAGCAACAAGCTGCAGTGTAAAAACCGACACTGCTAACACTTCCCAACACTGCTCCGCGTCCACGGCTTGTACAGAGTGCGGCATGACATTCTGTGGAGCTTGTTATAACCCTTAAAGCCTACACAGAACACTCACTCAACACATAAAATTGAAAAAACAGGAACTGCGTCCCAATAACATGGTTGTGAAAACTAGGCAATGTTATTTTTGTGATAACTGTTGAGAGTGTCAGTTTTTTAATGATTGTGTTTAAGAAAACTACACTGTTATCAAAACAACCAGTACATATTCCAGCTACATCATGGAACCCTCTAAAAGGATAAATATCTTATTCGACGTAATAAGCGCCCCGTCTAATAAGCGCCCACGGCGATATTTGCTGATATATTGGCTAGTGAACAATCCCAATTAGCACCCCTTGCGGTGGATCATTGTACACAAGACTTATTTATTCGTGTATAATACGCACTTGTGTGTTATTTGCACCCTTAATTTTGGGCAATCAAATTCTTGGAAAAATATATCTGTCGTACATAAACATTTCAGGCTGTCAGCATAAACCACGAAATTTATCTTTCAACTCTGCTTTTTTCATTAAAATAATATTCGAATAAGAGCCCCCTATTCCTAATTTTGAGAGCGCCCTGGCCGCTCATTACGTCGAATGCGGTAATCAAGTCTGGCCCAGACAAACTAGTACTGAAAGCGTGAGTGAGTTGGGTTTAATGCCACTTTGAACAGTATTCCAGTTATATCACATCATGTCAGCTTGATGTGGTCGAAAAGCGATGCAGGTCTTAGACGGTTACCATTTTGTGATAGGCACAAGCATGAGTAATGGTGCTGACAACCCTAGAATGATAATCAGTGTATACCTTGGATTACTACCCACAGCACTGAAAGCATAAGCAATGAATGATCCACACCACTGGGGCCAATGACATGCGATAAGACACGTCACAGAGCAGGAGGTCATCTCTTAAGACAAGCATGGGATACTAGGGATCCATTTTCCCCAGAATCCCCACATGGTGATGCAGGGTAAATATTATTTACATTTTGTTTGTTTGTTGTTTAGCGTAGCACTCAGCAATATTCCAGTTATGACAGCAGTCTGTACATAATCGAGTCTGGACCAGACAATTCAGTGATTGACATCATGAACATCGACCTACACAATTGGTGACATGCATCAACCAAGTCAGCGAACCTGAGCATCTCATCCCCTAGTCGCCTCTTACTTATTACCTGCAGCTTTAGAAATTGACACTAGTCCTTGCCATACTGCCCAATAGTAAAGGTATTATAAGGACTAGTAGAAATTTGCCATTTTTAGGGGTTTTGCTATTTGTTATCATTATAAGGACTAGTGGACTGAAACTGTTAGATTCTACCGCTGACCTGTAACTTACTTTCGTTACAGTAATGTCATATTTCAAGTGGCATCCAAGTATCTTCACCCCAGACGATTTAATGTCTTGTATTACGTGTTTTCTTGGCCAATCTTCATGACATTCCATGAGGAAGTAAGCAAGAAGGCTGGAATGGGTAACTTGGATCCTCAGGTCCTGAGTAGGATCTGGGTACCCACAGGACTACCAGGACCCATGGTTAGTTATGATATATTGATTAATAACGATAAGTCAAACTCCATGCTTACACAAAAAGTCATGTTTTTTTCTATTAATGCACACATTCAAATGTTTGAGTAAAGATATAGCTTCAGTCAACTTCAGTGTATGCATGATCAGATCATTTAATAGAAGTAGTTTTTGCCAGGACTCGCTAAAACAATTCTCAATTGGACATTTTGTACCCAACTTGAGACCTACACCGGTACCCAGGTCGGGTTGGGTAATAGGGGGTGGGTACCCGGGTAGTAAATTTGGACTCGCCCAGCCCTAGTAGGCAAAAAAAAATAATTACAACATATCAAGGTGATTTTTTGGTTAAATCCTTTAAATCTTTTAACAAAAGGTTCAACACAACCATAAACAATTTTTTTCAGAAAATATACCTAATCATGAAATATTTTTCATTTTCATAATTTTGCAGGTATCAGATTGGAACTTGCCTGAAAAACAACAAAATCCATAGTTGAGGCCTAAACATGATTACAAACATCTTCCTGAGGAATCACAATGGAATTTATAGATAGAGATTGATCTTGTTGGACTGGAGATTGTGTCCAGCCCTTGGCTAGACAAATTAGTTTCCCAAATGACTATGAATGCTGTCTCCTATTGCTAAAGGGAATCTGTTATTAGCAGTGTTTCATCTATTAGGTAGAAACTAATTAGACTTTGAAACCTAACACACATGCCCATATGTACTGTTCAAGTAATCTGACAACTCATATGAATCTAAATTAAATTAATTTTATCATCGGTGTTAGATTAAGAATGTTTTGCTTGTTTTGTCTTCCTGCTGTGGAAACTGGAAATGTGGCCAGACAATCATGGACAATTGTCATTCTCATAAAACGACAAGTCATGTTCCCTGTAGTGTATACAACACATAAGTACCATTCACCTGTCGACTAGCATTGATTTTCATACTACTCACCTGTCAACTAACACTGATTGTACGGAGAGCTTCACTTAGGCAATTGCTGCATTGGGCGAAGATGGCAGGGCCTGTACCGATTGCACTGGGTCACCCTGGAGTTAAAAAGAAAACAGGCATCAGTGGAGGGAAGCATGCTGGCATTACATGTCTCGACGTGACCCTGCTGAGAATCAATCACAAATCACTTCACTCCCGAAGTTCAACTTTCATGAAAAAGAGCTTATTTTTTTATTCCTTCTACCTTGTGTGAAGAGTCAAGAATTTGCTCTTGAGGTTAGGTGTAGATCTCATTTTGGATTTTACACCATAAAAGTTGAAAGTCAGCCAAAAAATTGAAACCACGAAAATGCTACAAATAATGACTCAAAGCCCTGTAGCTCACCTGAACGGAAAGGTATTTGCAGCATCTTAGACCAAATTTCGATAAATGTGAACAACATAAACTTCATATTATAACATAATTGCTGGGTTTATCAATACAAAGTTATAGTGAGTGAGTGAGTGAGTATGGTTTTACGCCGCTTTTAGCAATATTCCAGCAATAGCATGGTGGGGGACACTAGAAATGGGCTTCACACAATGTATCCATGTCGGGAATCGTATCCGGGTGTGATGAACGAACGCTTTAACCACTAGGCTACCCAACCACCCCTACAAAGTTCTAGTTGGCAGACCTTTCAGGCTGTGGTTTGTTTTTAGCCACTTTCAGCAATAATTCAGCTTATTAAATGTGGCCTGTATATAATCGCTGGAGTAAGATGACAATAAAACAGTACACATATTTCTGATATTAGCACAGTGTGCACAGTTTTCTCTTATAAAAAGCTGATTGAAACACTTAAATATCGAGCAACAGAAAATCCTCAACTTGATTTGGGGCAAAATATTGACTTCCTGTTCACGTTTTATCACATAATCCTCAGCTACATTTGTCTACAACTGCCAACAAGTTGTAAAAAAAAATATCACAAGACATCCATAAATACCGATCAAGGGTGTACTTGAAACTTTGAAAATATAGAGCACAATAAAATTCCCTACTTGATTTGGAGCGACAACATATTGAATTCCTGTCCACAGTTATCAATATTCCTGCAGTTCCAGCCATAATGGTCATCCTCCCTCAGCCCTGTTTCATAAACATCAATAATTAATAGGATTGTTTCAATCAAAACATTCCCTAATAATACAGGATTTTTTCCCTGAAAGCCATATTGTTGATTGATTTCTATCCCCTATTGATGCTGACAATCCACTCGGAGTTAGTCACGGTAGAGTACAGCTATGTCAACACCCACCAATTATTTACTGCTGGAACAGCCAGCATCTTGTTATTACCGTTCTGATGAAGATAATGTCTCAGTGGGTCAATACTACACTTAAAGAAAATATGATTGTAAAGACAACTTGACTCGAGTTTGCACATATATACATCACAAAGCTGCATTATCATATTATCAATACTGGATTTAACATCCCTGCTTTTAGCAAGTGGTAATTTTCCTCAAATATTCAGCAATGTCAAACAGTTGAGATTGACTTTCTCCTGGCAGTCTAGAAAGAACATCAATACTCCTGCTCTCTCTGTGGGTTTCTGATTATAATGCTGACACCATTGCTTGGAACTGACAGGAAAGTCAAGGTCGTTGAATGGCTTTTTGGCGTTAAATGCTGATGCAATATTTCTTCAGTCATTCACGGCTTGGTGAGAGCAGCCTGGGGAACTTCTACACAAAACATTCAGGAAGTTTGTGAAAAAGGTGAGGCAATATTATGAATAAAAGATTTATCATGATTGGTAACACATGTTTCTTTGGTGTTTCAAATAGGCGTCAATCGAAAAAGTTTGACAGACAGTTATCCATTTCAAAATTGTTTCTGTAACAAGTAATTTATCATCTTCCCGAAGCAAGAGAGTTAAATGACTTTAAAAGTCCAGTTTCCACCCTTGCCGAACTAGGCTGGAATTCCTGGGCTCGATCATAGCGCCACCAGTGGTTATTATGAGTTATGTCCCTTCTGAGCCTCTCCTATGGACCATTCAAATTCCACCTGTCGTATCACTTGCATTTGCTTCACACAAAATGGTGGTGCCCAGTCAAGATGATCTGATCAAAACGCAAGATCTATATTGTGATAAAACGGGTCTTACATCGCATCAAATCACTTGAGCACCTTGATTAAAAACATAAAAAGATTTGTAAACTATCTGTTGACAATGAGTTGGCAGTACATCTGCTTTGCAAATCCTGCAATTGACCGAAATCTGCACGACAGTATACGAACCGGATTTCGATTTCGTTGCGCGATTTTGATTGGACTATGCATAGACTCGTTAGTCCAGCCAAAATGTATCTCCATAATACCAGCCTAGTTCGGCAAGGGTGGAAACTGGACTTTGATAGTCAGTTAACTCGCTTGCCTCGGGAAGATGGTACTTTATAAAATGGGTGTGACAATACAATCTGTTCGCCACCCAACAACATAAAGAAAACTTATGGATACATACCGGTATAACATTTTTACGCATAACACTACATATACAGTATACATATTTACGCATTGATTATATACAGTAAACTATGGTAATAATGAACTCAAAGGGACAACTAATTTTAGTTTGTTATACCCGTAGTTCATAATAAGCATATATATACAGCAAATGGACTGGACAAAAAATAGGCTTGTTATATCCATCAGTTCATTATAAGCGTGTTCGTTATAAACGTAGTTTACTGTACAGTATACAGTATTTACATATTATATATACAGTACACATATTTACATATTACATATACAGTACACATATTTACATATTACATATACAGTACACATATTTACATATTACATATACAGTACACAAACTTACGTATTACATGTAAAGTACACATATTTACGTATTACATATACAGTACACATATTTACATATTACATTTACAGTACACATATCTACGTATTACAAATACAGTACACATATTTAGTTATTACATATACAGTACACATATTTATGTATTACATATACAGTATACATATTTAGTTATTACATATACAGTACACATATTTATGTATTACACATACAGTATACATATTTACGTATTACATATACAGTACACATATTTACGTATTACATATACAGTATACATATTTACGTATTACATATACAGTACACATATTTACATACTGCATATACAGTACACATATTTACGTATTACATATACAGTACACATATTTACATATTACATATACAGTACACATATTTACGTATTACATATACAGTATACATATTTACGTATTACATATACAGTACACATATTTACGTATTACATATACAGTACACATATTTACTTATTACATATACAGTACACATATTTACATATTACATATACAGTACACATATTTACGTATTACATATACAGTACACATATTTACTTATTACATATACAGTACACATATTTACATATTCCATACCGGGTATACAGTACACATTGGGTTTCACCAAAGTGGTAAAGTGGTCTTATACCTGCATCACTTCGGGCTTTCCTCCCACATTAAGTTGACACGCCGTGATATAACTGGAATACTGTTAAAAGCGGCGTTAAACACAAATCACTCACTCACACACTCCATCGTTTGCTGTATATGCTCCCTGTTGTAAATTGGGTATTAATTCTCTGTTTGCGTGATATCCTGTGAATCTTTAAATCAATGCGTCCCAAAATCGATACAAATGTCAACCCCTGGCCTAAAACGCGTCTTGAAATTAATGCTAGTAGCTGTGTCTATGAACTAACAAAACGAATCTACAAATGATAAAACCAAGACTGTAGATTAAGAATTCCATGATATAGCTCGGGGTAATAGAAGTTTGATTGAATAATATTATTTGCTATCTCCAAGATCTAGCATGTCAAGAGAATGATTAATGTTTGTGTGTACTACCTGGGGACAAAGCATTTTTTGCAGCATGTTCGGGAAAAGATTATTTGAAAAAGAAAATATAGGCTCCCACTTGAATATCAAATGGTCAGCCCCATGTATATCCTATAATATATATCACATTTAGCCAGTCAAATCATGAACAACATAACTTCACCCGAGCTGGACACGGGAGACCACAGGACATTCAATAATCAGCCTTGTTGACCAATCAAAAACAAGTTAGTTTGCATCAGCATCACCTCATCATCAGCTCAATATGTCATGACAGCGGCCATCAGCAATTATTATCACACAGGGGGTAATATATCTCATTCTGACTATGCCAAATAATCAATAAGTGGATAATAATCTGTGTGTGATGGCAGAAGACCAAGCTTGCCGGACTAATGGTACTAGAACTATCCATGTGGACACATCTAACATTAAGCCATTGGAGGTTATGGTAATGTGGATATTTCTCCCCAAAATAATCTACCAAGAATTGCTCTTTAACAAAATTTCCAATATGGCACAGGGAGATATGTTATCATCCTGGAGTGTTTGAAAGCTTGGAATTGAGTTGAATGCTTCATAATATTGATTTCATTCAAATGGTCGGATGAAACAAATTTCAAGAGAAGAGATGAATACTTAACTTTAAGATCGAGACAAATTACACAGTTGGAATATTATACCTTAAACAGGAACATAAAGCAGACTTCCTTTGATAACGATATTTCATTTTCATTTAGATTTTCCTATTTATGATTTTAAATGGCTGACTAAAAGTATTTTTGAAAGTTTCAAGAATTTATCCAGTGGATAAAAGTATTTTTGAAAATATATTCAAAGGGATTCGGCAAGTTTCAATGCAGAACCACACACATCTAACAAACTAGAGCTTATTTTGTTCTGGATTATGGCAGCAATAATATCTGCTTGGACGAGGGAGTAGAGACTCTTGAGTCTGGTACCGCTGCTGTGCAGAGAGTGGGCAGTCTCTCCCAGCAGCAGAGCTTCATCTGTGAGAGGTGATGTAATTGAGGTTTTTGTGAGATTCCATCACCTGCCCAACCACATCACAAAGCCCCTCCGAACCACTACTGCTGCTCCTTTAACAGGTTATTTTTTTATCAATGTTATTACTTTAGAAAAAAATTCTGAAAATAACTTT